GATGCCCCCTGGGCAGAGGGCGCCGTGGGTCCCCGCAGGCCGCCATGGGGCCCGCGCTGAGGCCTCGCGCTTCCGACCCGAGCACCCTTCCCTGAACTACCCTTAGCCGCGTGGGCAGGAGCTGCCTAGGCCGGCTCAAGGGCAGGAAGACTTGGAAGGCCGTGACAGTGCAGGGAAGCCCATGGGGGCAGCACCGGCAGCCGCCCRGGGCCTCGTGCAGATGGACGGCATGAGGCGAGGCAAACGGAAGGCTCGGAGCAGGCAGGAGGGCCCGGTCCCCGACACGTCAGCTATAGGGCTCCCTATATGGAAGGTGCTCAGGGAGCACGCCTCTCGTGGCCCTTGCTACTGCTATTTCAACAACCAGTGTTGAGATTTAACATAATCTTTGCAGCAACAGAGCATATTCTGAAATTACTTAGGCTTGGGTTTGGGTTTTGTACATATGCCTGCCCTCTCAAAAGGGTTTCCTTGCTCTTTATAATTCAACAATTGATGCTCTTTTAGCAGATTTGTTTCACGTAGAGAAAAAAATGAAATTTGTAGGGAAAATGGTAATTTAAAAAAAAAAAAAAGAAAAAAAAGAAAAGAAACCTGAGGATTCATGTACCCTCTTGAGGGTTTTAGGATTCTGGTTCAATTCAGAGCAAGAAGTATTTTCTTTGTGGTTTCCAGATGCCAAAAACTCTTAAAATCAATCTGCTCTTGCTGGTACTGCACAACTGGAACATGAATAATACAATTTTCTAAGGGAATACTCAAGCCATCAATTGAACATTAAACTGAAAACGCTAACTCGTTTTAGAAAATCTCTTAACTAAATGTTAGACAGTAAACAGAATTTTTAAAAGGCTGCTTCAATAGTTCTGGAATTTCTGGAAATAGAAAATTTGGAATCCACAGGTCTGTCTGATTGCAGGGACAACATCTGAATAGTCAGGAATGAAAAAAAAAATCAAAAAATGCAAACCGGGTTACAAATACTTGGCATTATAAAATCAGAAGTGGTTGCCCTTCGGTGAAATATAGCTGAAAATAATCTTGTCTGTAGTTTTTATATCACCCTGTGTCCTTCAGCCCTGCAGTTAGCAGGATGTCTGTCACAGCAGATCTGAAACTAGGCTCCTTTCTCCTTTACTACCCCTACTAGTTGATTGCTGAAAATGAGGAAGTATTTAGGCCAGGGTGCAAAATGACTTGGACTGAACAGCTGAGTATTTGAGGGAAACCTGTGTGTATCTACAGAGCTGGTATTTCTCRGTCTCAGCCTAGGAGACCTATAGCCTGAATGATACTGCCTAATGGAGTAACTGCAAAAGAAGTGTCAATTAAGAGGAATCTGAAGCTGCATTCCCAAACACCACTAACCTCATGGTCATGAACGCTCACATTTGCTGGGCAGCTGCAATGGAACAATTTCCTTGAACAGTTTCAAAGGAGAAGCTCCAAAAGTCTCCAGCAACACTGGCTGGTACCAACAGGGGGTCTCAGCTGTGCCATGAGAAAGCAGATACTGGAGTGTCTGATAGGAGGTCCTATAGGTGATGATCTACTGAGAGCTTCTGACAATGGGAGGTAAGGAAAGAAGCTGAGAAAAACACGAGCTCATTGTGATCCTCTGATTCCTTTTGTAAAAAAACATAGATGGGGAAAAGAAAAAGAAATGCTCAGAGTGGTTGACTGCATTGGAACTTAGGGTGAAGAAAAGTGATGAAATCATTCAAGAAGAGTACATCCATACCTTAAGAAAACATCCAAAATGGACCAGACACTTTCTGTTTGGTTAAAAAGGAGGAAAATGCCTGTCAAAAGAGATCAAAAGGCCCCAAACTCAACTTGCGGCTTTGGTGAGGCCTACTTATACTTGGAAGAAGAACCACCCCAAGGTCTCAGACCTGCTCCTGCTGCCAGCCCGGGAGCCCCGGACACCAGGAGCTCTTTGTCAGTAACTGGCAGTGCACTAGTACAGGCCTCCGCAGAAAGACTTCAAACCACAGGAGGTGGTAGTTTTGTGAAAGGAAAAATGTAGTCTAAGCAATGAAAGCATTTAGCTGCCTTCTCTCTGGTCCTGGAAGTTTGAACATGGGAAGGATGCTGAAGATTACAGATCTGAGAAACAAGTAAGGCCTGCAACAGCTTCTCCTCRAGACCTACTTGACTCTACCAGAAACCAAGAAAAAATCTTCTTGTCCAAGTGGCAAATACTGGTTTGCAATAAAGGTCTCTCAGGAAGAGAGCTACAGATGATGGAGAATGACAGCACAGAACAGAGAAACCGACAATAAAAAATTGAAATATCTCAAAGTGTCATTTCTCTTGTCCTTTCTGAAGTTGTTCCAACACTGACTCCATTAAAATATATTAACATTTGGGTTCTGTGAGACAATGAAGGTAATTCAGATATATGCAAAAATACTTTTAGGTTTGCTGTGCTTGGCAGAGAAAGCATGCTTCACCTTTTCCTCTTATTTTGGTATTGCTTGCTACATAGCACTGATGCTTCTGCTGTTAGAAAATGACATTCAGAAAGTCAGTGAC